TGTCTCGGCATTCCTCCTCCTGTTAACAGCACGCCGCCCTTCCTTTGGGGGAACTTCCGTCATCCACGTGGCTGGTTGACTGCTCTTCCCCCCGGGCCTCCGGCTGCTCCTTCCCAGCACTCGCCCCAGTGAAATGTCTCCTTCTTCAAGGCTCCTGCCCTGACGACCAACCGCATCTGAAGTTGTCTGGGCCTCCTCTCACCCTCGTGGCCCCAGCGCTGTCTTACTCCTCTGCGTTCTTTTCTTCGCAGGACTCACCACTCCGAAGTCATCTTGCTGACCTACTTGTGAGGGTCCTTCAGGGAGAAGGACCTTGCCCTGTGTATTGCTGCTGTCTCTCCTGAGGGCACTGCCTGGGCACAGCAGCTGCTCCGTCAACAGTCCTGACAGAACACACCTCCCTTGCTCCCAAAGCTTGGCTGGTGACCTGGGACAGACACAGGATAGCAGCAGAGCTTCAAGGCTGGGAACTGCTTGGCTCTTGCCACTCTGGGGCCAGGCTGCTTAGTGCCTCCTGATTATGGAAGTTACATGGTAACTTTAAGAGTGAGCCAAGCCTTGACTGGTGTGGCTCGGGGAGTTGAGTGCCTGTCTGTGAACCACGGGGTCGTGGGTTCAATTCCCAGTCAGGGCACATGCCTGGGTTGCAGACCAGGTGCCCAGTTGGGGGCGCATGAGAGGCAACCAAACATTGATATCTCTCTCCCTCTCCACTTCCCTTCCCCTTTAAAGATAAATAAATAAATAAATAAATAAAAAGTTTAAATAAATAGATAAATAAAAATTTAAAAAATAAAAAGAGCCAGGAAAGGGGATTAGGGAACTTTACTAGCCAAATTTCTTTTCTATTGGCTTGCAATATAAGAAGCCCAAGAAAACCGTCATTCTAAGTTGCTATGTTCCAATCCTTCATAAATGCTTAAAATAAGTGTATTGTATCTCATCAAGCGAAGCACTTGACCAAGCCCCTGTGGGCAGAGGCTGTCCCGCTTTCTGCAGTCAGAGTGCTGCTGTGACGCCGCCCTGCAATAACCCACCTCCCAGTCTGAGGGACTTATCTCTGCAAGGATGCAAGGATGGCTTCTCAGAACTGCAATGCTGGGTTGGGACAGATGGCATAAACTTTTTTTTTAAAGTATAACTTTATTGATTATGGTATTACAGTTGTTGTCCCATTTTTTTCTCTTCTTTATCCCCCTCCACCCTGCAACCCCCCCTTCCCACCAGCACTCCCTCCCTTAGTTCATGTCCATGGGTTGTACAGATAAGTTCTTTGGTTTCTACATTTCCCATACTAATTCATAACTTCCCTGTCTGTTTTGTACCTACCATTGATGCTTCTTATTCCCTTTACCTTTTCCCCTCTTCTCCTCCCTTCCCCTCCCCACTGATAACGTCCATGTGGTTTCCATTTCTGTGATTCTGTTCCTGTTCTATTGTTTGCTTAGTTTTTGTTTTCGTTGTTTTTCTTTTCTTTTAGGTTCATTTGTTAATAGCTGTGAGTTTGTTGTCATTTAATCATTCACATTTTTTATCTTCTTTTTCTTAGGTAAGTCCCTTTAACATTTCGTATAATAAGGGCTTGGTGATCATGAGATCCTTTAACTTGTCCTTATCTGGGACTTCATCTGCCCTTCCATTCTAAATAACAGCTTTGCTGGATAGAGCAATCTTGGATGTAGATCTTTGCCTTTCATGACTTCAAATACTTCTTTCCAGCCCCTTCTTGCCTGCAAGATTCCTTCTAGCTTGCCTGCAAGCTGGAAGTCTTATGGGCACTCCTTTGTAAGTAATATCTCTTTTTCTCTTGCTGCCTTTAAGATTCTCTCCTTATCTCTAATCTTGAGTAACGCAATTATGATGTGCCTTGGTGTGTTCCTCCTTGGGTCCAACTACTTTGGGACTCTCTGAGCTTCCTGGACTTCCTGGAAGTCTATTTGTTTTGCCAGTTTGGGGGTTCTCCTTCATTATTTTTTCAAATAAATTTTTGATTTCTTGGTCTTCTTCTTCTGGCACCCCTATGATCCGGATGTTGAAACATTTAATGTTGTCCTGAAATTCCCTAAGCCTCTCCTAATTTTTTTTGGATTCTTGTTTCTTCATTCTGTTCTGGTCGAATGTTTAGTTCTTCCTTCTGATCCAAATCGTCGATTTGAGTCCATTTCCTTTTCTTCACTGTTGGTTCCCTGTATATTTTCCTTTATTTCACTTTTCATAGCCTTCATTTTTTCCTCTAATTTGTGACCACATTCAGCCAATTCTGTAAGCATCCTGATCACCAGTGTTTTGAACTGTGCATCTGATAGGTTGTCTATCTTCTCATTGCTTAGTTCTTTTTCTGGAGCTTTCATCTGTTCTTTCATTTGGTTCAGATTTTTTTTTCTTGGGTGCCTGTTATGTTTTAAGGGGCAGAGCCTTAGGTATTCCCCAGGGCGGGGCAACCCACGTAGCTGCGTCGTGGTGCTCTATCTGGCGGAGGGTCCGAGAGGGAACAGTGCTGCTCGCTCAGCTCTCCCCGGGCTTTCAGTCAGTTTCTCCACTACCCACAGACAAATTGGGCCCTCCTGGTGCTGATTCCTGGGTGAGTGGGCTTATGTATGTTCCAGGACCCTAGGGGTCCCTTCAGCAAGCTCTCCTGTGAGACTGGAAGCTTCCCCCACTGCTGCCTCAATCCCCACAGACTTTTTCACTCAGAGGTTTTAAGGCTTTTTTTCCCCACATTGGAACCTTGGGTTGTGTGGTCTGGCTCCCCAGTTGTTCTTCCTGGCTTATCTGAATGTGTGGGACACCCCAGTCTGCCAGCTGCCGCCTCACTTGGCCTGGTCTATCTCCTTGTCACATGTCCTCTCCACCCTGCTGCCTGTCTCCGCCCCTCCTAACCAACCTGGACAAATGGTTCTTCTTTAAATCCTTGGTTGTCAAGTTTTTCCATACAGTTCGATTTCCTGGCAGTTCTGGTTGTTTTTTGTTTTTAAATTGGTTGTTGTCCTTCTTTTGGTTGTGTGAGAAAGCAAAGCATATTTACCTACACCTCTATCTTGGCTGGAAGTCACATTTCAATGGCGTGAATTTTATGGAATGCAATACCTTTCACAAAATTCCTTCCCACAAAAAGCTGCATCACAGCCTACCTCACCACACCGCAGCCAGCAGCTGAGTATTCTTCACCGGCTAACCTAAGCGGAATAATCTCACTTTTGTTCCAATTTGTACTTCCTTGATCACTAGTAAGGGTGGCCTTCCCTGAGACACAGTATTAAAATCAGGCCAATTAAAAATCATACAATGGTCCTGGCTGGTGTGACTCAGTGGAGTGCATGCCAGCCTATGAAAGGTCACTGGTCCAATTCCCACTCATGGCACATGCCTAGGTTGCAGGCCAGGTCCCCAGTTGGGAGCACATGAGAGGCAACCACACATGAATGTCTCTCTCCCTCTCTTTCTCCCTCCCTCCCCCCTTCTCTGTATATAAATACATAAAATAAATGAAAAAATAAATAAAATATTTAAAAAATACATCACACAATGACCTCTACGTTTTCAAGTGAAAAGAAGTCTCTCACTTGAAATCAAAAGCTAAAAATAATGAAGCTGTGTGAGGAAGGCCAACGGCTGTGGAACCACAGCTGCGATGGACTCAACTCTGGGCCCCTGCCAGCCAGGCTGTGAATGCCAAGGGGAAGCACTTTAAGGAAACTTAAAGTGCTGCTCCAGTGACCACAGAGAATAAAAAAGTGAAACCCTTATTGATCATCTGGAGAAACTTTTAGTCATCTTCAAATTACATTTACTGATTTTACACAGAGGAAGGGGGAGAGAATGCAAGACGGAGAAACACGGATTTGTTTCACACGGCTACGCATTCACTGGTTGACTCCTGTATGTGCTCTGACTGGGGAGGGAACCCGCAACCTTGGCACATCAGGAAGACGCTCCAACCAACCGAGCAACCCGGCCAGGGCCGTTTCAGGGCTCTCCCCAGAAGCTCAAACCGGCCACTATGTCCCCCTAGGCCCAAGCGGAAGCCAGAGAAAAGCCCCGACTCTTCAGCTCTGTGAAGACTGAGAGGCAAGGACGCTGAAGGAGGGTTGGAAGCAGCAGGGTTTGAGAGGCTGACTCTGATGTTGAATAAAGTTCTGCTCCGAGTAAGTTGCTTTCAAACAGCATCACATGCTACAGAGACATTGCTCACGAGAGGAAGGGGCACTCAGCAGGGCAGACTTCACTATTGTCTCATTTTAAGGACTTGCCACCCAATCCATCTGCATCGAGGCCAAACCACCGCCAGCAAAATTATGCCGAAAGTCAGATGAGTAGCATTTTTTAGCAATCTAGTATTTAAAATTTTCTGGTGCAGTATTTTTAAACTGAGGTATGTACATAGCGTTAGACACAATGTGACTGCACGCTTAGAAAGCCTACAGTGATCATCTGTAAAGTGCAAATGAAACTTTTATACACACCGGAAGACTAAATGTGACTCCCTCTCTGAAGACACTTCTCTGTGAGCATGTGCAGTCTAGAAGGTGTGACTGTAAGACACTTGACTTCTCGGGTCCAGCTTCCCTCGCATTAGACCTGGGGACACGGACAAGCCCCAGAGGGGGAGCCTGACGGCCCAGAGAGGTCCAGCTCCAGTCTCCTGTCACCCCCAGTGACAAATCTCAGAGGAAAATCAACGACCAAACCAGGCAGCCATGGCCCACTCCCGCCCTGCAGCCCGGCCTGTGAAGTCAATCCATGGGCAGTGTCTCTACTAGCAAAATACTTTTATTATTTTATAATGATAGAAAAGGAAAGTCAGGGTTTCTTTTTGGTGTATACCAGAGTTAAAGGAAATAGAAGAATAAAGGGATTAATAAGATTTTTATGTACTTTGATGACAATAAAAAGTTAACAATACCAACTGTTTGCCATAAAACTTATTATAGCTCCCCAAAACACATATATAAAGGATCAGTTTTAAAATCTATAAAAGTAAAAAATATACAGTCAGAAGCTCTATCACTTATTCCATCTTTAATATAAAATTGTAAACATTTATTTACACAAAGCAAATGTGTATAACAAAAGTCCCAGCACCCTTTTGAGTCATGGCTCCTGGTAAATGGGGGTTGGGGGTTACACTGAAGTGGTACCCCTTCCTCCCTGACCACCCAAACACCAGGTTCATAAATAAAGCCACGGGCAGCTCCCTGGGGGGCCCCGAGCATCACATTTTATTGCTCTGACACTGCAGCAGGCAAGAAGCCTGCTGTCTGACTAGGTGGCCCAGGACTAGGGGGACTAAGGCAGGGGCGGCCTCCCCAGGAGGGAGGTAGAGTGCCCTGGGGACAGAGGTGAGCGACAGCCAGACAGAGACCAGAGAAGAATGAGGGCCCATCACTGGCAGTCTGCCCACCCCTTTTTGGTAGAAAACCTGCTGAAGTCACCCCCTCCCCTCCACACTGGGGAGAGCACTCGAGAGGGTGGTGGCACGGGCTCTATGATTCACTCCCTTTTTCAGAGCTAAACCCAGCACCCGGAAAGGCAGGAAGGTGGGGTGGGGAAATGGCTCTAAGAGAAGAGGGGTGAGGGCTGAGCCCCCACGAAGGCACTGCAGGTGCAGAGCATCACCAACGGGTGTCCAGCCTCCCGTCCCTGCGCCCCGGCTGCTCGCGGGAACCTTGTCCTCGGCTCAGTTCTTTCCATAGGACACTCCGTGAATGACCATGGCGGTCTCTCCTGAGACCACACCCGTCAGCGGCCCTTCCTCCCCTACTCCGTGGGAGAGGGGCTCGCCCTGTGCTCCAGTCTGCTTTCCTTTACACCGAATGCTCACTCCATCTTCCTCTTCCACAAACAGCCCACAGGTAATACTCTGTTTTGTGGACTCTTAGCTTAGTCAAGTCTATTAATTCATAGACCTTAAAAGAGAAATCCACTTGAATCTTTAGAAAGGATGTATTAGTGTTATAAAGCAATTCTCTTTAAAAAGTGCAAGTTATCTGACATGGGAGTGGCAAGAGTAATACAGAGAACTCCTCCCTCTGCCTGGCACTGGGTGGGGCCACCCTGCTAAACAGGCCCACAGCCCCTTCCCCTTCCCTAAAGCCTTCCTTTTGGGGACGGGTGCCCTCCGCCCTACAATGTGAGGTCTCCCTAAGGAGTTGTAATGATTCTTTCCCCGCCAATCTAGTAAATCATGGTCTCAAAGAGGTTTTCCAGTTGGGCTGCAGAGAGAAAAATGGGGAGGCAGAAAAAAGGGCATCAGAAGGGAAGACAGGTGAAAAAAGACCTCTGAACACGACTGCCCGACGCCCGCTTTCTAACATGTTAAATACACGCTGTCAGACCAACAACTGCAGAGGGTGGGGACTTACAACCAAAGGACACCTGGGAACCCCAAATACTCCATTTCAGCATTTAGCCTGGGGGTGGCCTGGGGTCCTGCTACCAGAGTGGAAGGAGGGACCCCTCCACCAGGGTCCTCAGAAATGCCCACCGAGGAACAGCATTCTGGAGGGAGGGCTGCTGGGCAGACCGCACCTGTCACCAACCAGCTCTGCTGCCTCGTGGCATCCTGTGCCTTTCTCACACGTGCACCGGCCACAGCCCGTACTGATGGAAAGGCTTTTCCCGTGATGCCCCCTTTTTCCTGAAGGCGGACAGAGCCGAACACAAAAGGCCCTTAAAGGAAGCCCTAGGTTTCCAATGCCACGGAATCAACTTAAACCACTACCTATCCTGCTTTAAAAACTTTAAAAATTTTAATCTTCTCTATGCTACAAATTGCAAATAGTTCTGCTATATGGAGTCTCAACAAATACTTCCCCCCAACAATGAGGTGAGTGAAGAAATCTTGGATTAAGCCGACACGACAGCACAGGTTTTTAAAAGCCTGACATAATGGGGTTTCACTGTTTTATCTGTTGGCTTTTGGTCATTTGGACAGAAAACCACCTGTGGAACCCTGTCCTGCTGTCCCGGCAACAGGTGATGATGCCAGCAGATGGTCTGGGGCCAGCCCGACAGACCATGACACTAGGGTGGAGCAGGGGGCTCCGCAGATTCCAGCCAGGGGAATCCAACCTCAGCCCCAGGCTCTGCTGCACCCACCCAGCCCCCGGGCTGTGGGCTTTTGGTCTAAATAGTTGCTCATCGTTGAATATGAGAACGAGCTGTAGGAACACTGAAAACACCTCGAACCCTGCTATTACTGAGGCCCCAGAAGGTCATCCAGATCGTTCATCCACTCTTCCGAAGTCCTGTTCTTCAGCAAGGAGTCAATCAGGTCGGCATCTCCTGCCATGCTGGCCAGCCCACTGCCCCCTGGCTGCCCACTGTAGGCGAAGGGCAGCTCCTGGCTCGAAGTCCGCACAGGGTAGGCTTGGGCACAGTGCAGCCCTGCCCTGCCGCCCATGGGTGGGGCAGGGCTCTGGCTGAAGGCCCCCAGCTCAGGCCCCCCAGGGCTCAGGCCCGGCAAGCCCTGTTGCGGGGCTGCCTGGGGAGGCGCCGGAGCGGGGGCGCTGGTCCTCTGCTGTGCACTCACAGGAGGCAACATGGGCCCAGTGGAAGCCGCCGAGCTCATGGGGGCCATGGGCCTACTGGGCACCGTCTGGGGGAACCGTGGGCTGGACACCTGCAGGCGGGCCTGCTGCATGTGGAAGCTGGATGCCGCAGTGAAGGGGCTGACAGTGGTGCTGCCCGGGGCTGGGCTGCTCAGGGTCGGCACTCCCTGGTGCTGCCAAGACGGATTCTGGCCTCCCATGGCTGCTGACACCCTTGGGACCTGTGGCTTAGTTAAACCAGAGTTCAGGGTCCCCTTACTGTGCTGTTGGGAGAGGCCAGAGCTCCCCAGAGAGTTCTGCCCATAGGCAGCTGAGACTGAGGTGTTCTGGCCCATGCTGGCCTGCCGAGGAATGTGGGCATGTCCATTGGTGGCCTGTGATGGGGGCTGGGTGACTATCTGGGTGATGCTGGCGGCCATGCCGTAGAGGCTGCTCTGCGGCATGCTCTGGGAGCCGGTGAACTGAACCACGGTGCGGTCCTGCTGGCCCGAGTTTGAGGAGAGAGAGGAAACGGAAGTGTGTCCAGGGCCCAGTGGCATCAGACTCCCAGCCTGAGGGAACCCTCGAGGACAGCTGGAGTTAGGCGGACCCAAGGTGTTCATTCCAGGCACAGCAGCGGAAGACCCTAGAAGACAGAGAAGATTCTGTCAATCGAGGTGGTATTTCTTGCCCACCACTGTGGGGATGCCTCCCAGAGCCAAGGTGCAGCTGCCACCCTATGGGCACAAACAGCAGACTCAGAATGCCAGGCACCTCACAGCCAGTGGGACCTCAAAGAAGAGAGTCCTGGGGCCCAGGGGCACCTGAGGTTAAGACAAAGGCAGAGGGATACGCAAGCACGAGGGGAGGGCAGCCAGTGGCCTTGGCTTGTTCTCCTTCTGAGGCCCACCTATCTCTGCCCTGTGCAGGCCCAACACAGGGCCCTGGGCTCCATGAAGCCAACTCGGGGCACACCTTGGGGGGGCACTGCCGCCATGTGCTGTGGCAGGGTTGTAGCGCAGGCTGGGCAGCACGCCGTGGGAGCACAGGAGACAAAGGCTTGGTGCCTGGGAGGGCTTGGGGAGGCTTCAGGGAAAGCTGACAAACCCATCAGGATTTGAAAGGGTAGAAGCCAAGCGATTTAACAGCTTGGAGAAACAGTACTCGGACTGAGAGAAGGATGTGTGCAAAGTCATAAAAGGTGGTCTGTGTGGGGGACTCTGTGGCTGGGTGTGGGGAAAGCATCAGCGGTCAGACACAACACTGAAGAGCCCTCACCGCCCGACCAGAGGGAGACAGCACTATGACTGTGGTTCCGAGCCTGCTGGGGCAGAAGCTGCTCACACCTTGCAGATGAGACCCTCAGAAGGGAGCACCCCGACTGTGCCCTGCAGGCTCTGGTGAGCGCCTGCTCTGTGGCGGGAAGACGTGCTGGGAAGATGACACTGAGGAACTGGACCGAGGGGCTCTGCCTTAAGCAATGGCTACGGGGCAGAAGCACTGAGGAGAGTTTTTGCAGGCAGGACAGCCACTGTCCAGGGGCCGGCCTTAGCTGCGCACTTTACTCCTCCTCTCACACTCCCCACTGGCATTTAACTAGTAACTTGGTGGAGGAAAGGAGAGAGCCTCTCTCACTCCCACTGAGCACCCAGAGAAATGACAGATGGCACGAAGGCAGCAAAGATGGCTGAGACCCAGGCTTCTGAGATGCCCGCTGACTTCGGCTCCTTGGCTCTGGTCAGCATGCACACAGAACTCCACTGGTCTCTTCCAGAACGCACAGCTGGGGTCAGCTCCTCTGGGACACTTTACAGTGAGAGTCACTGACTAAGGAAGGGACAGGTTCCGAAGACACTCCAAGAAGAGCAGACCACATTTTCCTGCACCTGCCAGTTGGCAGGCATCTTTCGGTATTTCTGGAGTGACAGCCTGAGTAGTGGCAGCCAGACTCCCTCGCGTGTCTGACACATGACATCTGAGACCCCTCAGAGTGCCTCCTGCCCCTTCCCGGCCAGCTGTCCATGGCTGGTGCAGCCACCTGTGACACTTGAAAGTGAGCAGACAAGAAGAAAAAACAAAGAGGCAAAGGCCACACAAGTGCATTAAGTCTCCTTATCTGGAAACTGGGAGAGGTCATTTTGCTGAAGCTAAGAACTTTCTTAAGAATTAGGGAAGCCATTTCCTGCTGATAAGATTGTACAGCCAGGGACCTGACCAAAGTACTCAGCCAAAGCCGTCTGCCTCTACAGCCCTCTTCCCCTGATCCAGTGGGTGACTTGGACACAGCCCCTTAGGTGGGCTGAGGTCTCTACAAGGAAGTGGACCCCCAGAGTGCCAGGCCAAGGCCACACAGGCACTCAGCATGTGCAGAGCAGCCTGCCTACTCTGAGCAAGGCCCGCCAGCCCCTGCCCCCGCCACCAGGGCAGACGCCCCTCACCTGGGAACTGTCCGACTTGCTGTGGGAAGGTGCTCTGTGTTGGGTCTTGGTACTGGGGTGGTGGGCGGGTCAGATGGCGCTGAAACTGCTGCTTCTCCTAAAAATGCCAAGAACAGAGCAAACAAAAGACCCACATCAAACAAACGAACAAACAAACTCACAAACACATAGTGTCAGAGCTGAGGACAGAAAACCGTCCAAGCTCATTACTCATAGACAAACTCCTGTGGATGTCGTGCCCATGGTCTCTTTTTGGGGATTCTTAATAAACACTATGAAGCAGAAGGATGAGTCGGAGCTCAGGAGCAATAATTAAGAAAAGATTTCAGTTTTTAAAATGGAGGGCAGATCAGGAAGGTGCAAACCAAAGCTACCACGATGTGCCACGTCAAGTGCACTAGGAGGGCTGGAAGAATGGAGACTGGTGCAGCGCAGATGCAGAGAAACCGAGACCGTCACACAATGCTGGGGGCACGTAAACTGGTGCAGCTGTTTTGTAAAAACAGTCGGGCAGTTCTTCATAAGGTTAAACACAGGAGTCAGCATTTCACCCAGTAATTCCACCCCTAGATATACTTTCAGAGAATCAAAAAGCTATGTCCACAAAAAGTTGAGGGAAGAGCCTATCTATCAACAAATAAATGGACAATTAAAATGCGACATATTCATACCACAGAATAGTATTCAGCCATAAAAAGTGCGGAAGTACTGATACACGCTATAGCACAGTTGAACCTTTAATCCACTTGCACAAAACATGCACAAAAAGTAGGTGGGTGGGTGCCTAGGCCTGGGCAGATGAGGGGAACAACTTTTCCTGGGTACATAGCTCCTTTTAGGTGTCACTTTAAATGGGTAAAACAACTCCAATGTCATGTACAACTGTTATTCCTCAATCGACCTAAACTACTGGATGGCTAGTTCTTCACTTATGTCCTAGGGATGTAATTTAAAACCTGAGAACTCCTGTAAACTCAGCACCTGCACGCTATACCTGGTGACCAAGTGGGTGAACGGCAGCACTTGGTGGGGCTTGTCAGCCCTGACCCTACAAACTGCAGGCCCCTGGCCCCATAGCCGGCCTGTTACAAACTCACTAGGCCCCATGTGCACTGATGAACTGGGGGCTTGGACATGGAGAAATGTCCCTAACACGTATGGTTTCAGCCAGATTCTGCCTTCATTAATCTTCACTAAGTGACATAAAAAGCTGTCTCCGACACAGGACACCATCGTGAGAAATGCCACACCCCAGAAGGGCATTTGAAACGGCAGAGCGCTCTAACACCTACAAACATGCGATGAGCACACAGTCACCTCACACTCTGGGGAGCACAGTGACCTAGAGGCACACGGCGGGGGTGGGGTTGTGCTCTGCCTGTCTCTTTACCTGCTCTGCCAGAAGGTGCTGCTGCCTTTGCAAGAACTGCTGTTGCTGCAAATGCTTCTGCTGCTGCTCCCTCTGTTTCTGCTGATCCAAAAGCAACTGGTGCTGCTTCATGACAGTTGCCTGCTGTTGGCCGCTGAGATAGGGGGCGCTGCTGTGAGTGCTGGCCACGGACGCAGTGGGTGGCTGATTCCCCACGCTGGATGCCTGGGCTGGCACAGGGACGTTGGGAGGGTTCTGCTCCTGTCAACACAGATAAGGGGTCTGGAGTTGGGTGGGATGCAGCAGTCTTCCAGCCCTGACCAGAGCACGTGAGCGCCACCTAGTGAAAGCCTGGCTCCCTGCAGAGGACTCCAGTGCAGCCGCTCTGCGGGAGGCTGGGTGGACACCAAGGGAGCCAGGGCTTGTGTGTCCAGGAGCAGCAATGCAGAGTCACGAGCAGCATGCTAGCTTTGCTTCCTGCGACTTGCCAGTGGCAAGGGTGTGATTTTACACTTAAGTTCACATATTTGCACCCAACAGCTTCTGTAGGCAACTGGAGCTCATATACCCTCGCTTACTGGAACTCGTGAGTGTGGGGGAGCTCCAAGGAGCACTGGGGGGGGCTCTGGGTGATGGAGACTTGCCACATTCAAGTGTGCAAACCTTGGGTCCCTGGTGGTGGCCTGTCTCTGAACCTCCTGCAATCACTGTGTTTACCCACGTGTGTGCAGCATTTTCCTGGGAGAGACTGCTTGGCTTCTGTCAGATGCTCATGCCCATATTTTCTAGTAACACATAGAGCAAAGTGAGTCATGTCGAAGGTCACCACGGTGTTATGCCAGTGTCATTACTTACATTTAAAGGAAAATTTAACTCAACACAGGAAAAAGGCAGAATTTAGCAGTGATCATTTAAATAAGTTCAACTTCTTGAGCTCCTTTCCAGTCCTTATTCATTTGTTTAATCTTTACAAGAGTCTAATCTCAGAGCAGAAAGATTCTGACATAATTCCTCACACCAATCAGCAGCAGCTCATGGGCTACAGAGCACTCTGTGAGGTGGGTGCAAAGTCACTAAGACGGCACTGCTGCTAAGACAGCGGTGGTCACTGGGTGGCTCTTAAGGTGGCTTTTAGTGGCCATGCAGCAATTTAAAGGTTGACGTAAGCAAAAGTCTCGACATTGACACATGCAGGTTTGCTCCTGTTGCAAGATGCTTAAACTGCTTCCAGTTTGGAGCTATTAGCTACAACCATGCAATGAACATCCTGTATGTAACTTTCTCTTTTGGGGGCATTATTTCTTGCAGGAGTATAATGTATCAATGCTTATGAGTATTTTTATGGCTTACGAAAAACACACAATGCTAAATTACTTTCCAAAAGCACTGTGCCCATTTATATACTCTCACCACTATGAGTGTGTCAACCTCTTCATGCTATTACCAGCTATAAATATACAAAGGTATAATTCCCAGTCAGGGCACATGCCCTGAATTGAACCGGTTGCAGACCGGTTCCCTGCAGGCCAGTTCCCAGCAGGGGACGCACGAAGGCAACCATACACTGATGTTTCTCTCCCTCTCTCCTTCCCTTCCCCTCTAAAGATAAAGAAATAAAATCTTAAAAAATATATATATACACAAAGGTATAAATATTTACAGCTGAAGATATATTCACTGAAGGCTTACTCATGATAGTGAAGAGCAGGAAGCAAGTTTCGGGGGATCAAAAAAGAAAGAGGTCCAGGAAACACTCAGGAGTGAGCAAACCAAGTGTGCTGTGCCCTTCTCTGCGGAACACACTCTGCTGCTGCCTGAGGCCCAGTCATTGGAAATCACCCAGGGAGGAGGCGTCTTAGAACAGAGCTGAGCAAAGTGGCAGGGAAAATCTCAACAGTGACAGCACCGGCCCTGACATGGGGCTGCCTTGCAAGCCACGTGATTCTGCCAGGCCTGTTTATCACCAGTGAGGAACCACAGTGCTCAGACGTGTTGGAAGCAGCACTCACCTAAAAGGTTACAAGCTTACCAAAGCTTACTAAAACTTAAGGGATATTTTTTAATGATTTTTGAGAGGAAAGGGAGGGTGGGGAAGAGAGAGACACTGATTTGTTGCTCCACCTGCTTGTGCACTCACTGGTTGATTCTTCTATGTGCCCTGACCCAAGACAGAACCCGCCAACTTGACATATTGGGACGATGCTGTAATCAACCGAGCTACCCGGCCAGGGCCTAAAACTTAAGATATTTTGGGCATAGAGATCTGAAAGATGGTTAAAAAAAAAAAAGCAAAACTTTTAAGAAGCCCAGTAAATCTGATCTTTACCTGCAAAATCCAGCCCCAAACTACTTGTGTGGCATGAATGAGATACAAGAAATACAGGTGAATCCTCCTAAGTGCGGATAGTTAAAACCAAAGAAATTTTACCCTCTCTTTGTCTAAGACTCAACCCAGGTTTGCTTGATCAATTTTCTCTCCCAAGGAATCAAAGAACAATCACAGTTCCCTCCCTCCTTCCCTTTGTTTCCCAACCCTGTGGGACCCAGTAACCACAGGGATGCAGAGTAAGAGTGCAAAGCTACAGGCTCACCTGGCTAGGTGGGACCAGCGACGGGAAGGGCATGTTTCCTGGCTTTGGTTTCATCAGAAACAAGGAATTCTGCTCATTGCTCAGGTGAGGCAGCTGCTGGGGAAGGTAGGTCATCAGGGCCGCCTTTCCTGGGCCAGCCCCAGGGCCGCCTTGCCCGCAGTCTGCTTTGTAATGAGAAAGGGGCTTGGTGTTGCCGTAGTCCAGCACAGACCCTTGGTTAGTCACGGTGCTCTGGCTCAAGCTGCTTGGCGGCACCTGGTGACTCAGCAGGTTTACATGGCTGGGCGGGAGGTAGGGGCCTCCAGGATGAGGGGAGCTCTTATTCACACTGGGCATCATGAGCAGTTTGGAGTTAGTGAAGTCTTGCTTATAGCCGGGAGGGCTGGCAGGCTTCTCCATAGTATAAGGAACATTTAAGGGGCTGTGGGATGGGCCTGTCTGTTGCCAGGTGGACATCTGGCCTGGAGCTGGTGCCTGAGCAGCCTGCTGTGAATTCTGGAGCATCTGCTGGCGCTTCTGCTTGGCAGCAATCTGCTGGAGCTGGTGGGCAGAGGACAGCTTCGAGGCCCCTCCTGGACCCTGGCTTGGCAACACCACACTGGAGATGGCTCTTTGTGCATTCTGGGCCTGGGCAGATGCCGGCATCAGGCTGGGACTGGGGTTGTCTGTCCCGGGCTGACCAGAGGTGTGGAACAGAGGCTGAGAGCCCCCGAGGCTGGGTGAGTCTGTGCTCACAGGCCCAGAGGAAGGCCCCATTCTGTAGGATGGAGGTCCTACGGAATCAGCCCTCACTTGTGGAGAGCCTGACTGTTCTTGTTCCAAGGCTGCTGGAGAGAATTCTGTCTTAATGCTGATGTCCTGAGCCAAGGGAGGCTGTGGGGCAGAACTGGAAGACTCTGGGTCCTTCTTCTCTTCAAAGTCCTCAGTAAACAGATCCTTCATGTCTTCGTCGGGCACTGACCTGTTCAGCTCCTCAATGAGCTCCTTCCACTCCTGCTCATTAAGGTTGAGGTCAGGCATGAGGTTGCTTTGGGATATGGAGCCTCCAGCTCCTGCGATCATGCAAGGCAGGTCATCCACAGGCTCCTGCTTCAGCTCTTTACTCAGGCTCAGAGGAAATGACTCGCCAGAGTTGCTGCCTCCATTCAGGTGGAGGCTTGAGTCTGCCAGACACTTCTTGTTCATAGAGTCCAGTCCCAGGGCGTGCTTCCCGCTGGCTTGCAGGGCCTCTGCACTGGGCTCCTCAGGCTGACCGAGAGGGGAGGCTGGAGGCAGGCCGTTGGAAGAGACACCCACTCCCATGGGAGCCTCCCGGCGGGTCTTCTTATGCCCAGAAAAGAGGTCTCCATAGCCATTCTGCTGGTCACCATTCTGTGGGGAGGCAGTGCTATCGAGACTCCTCTTCACGGTGTCATGGAGATGCTGAAAAACATGGAGAAGAGTGACTCATGTTCACAGCAACTTGTAAGAGGCCCCATGGCTTCTCATGGTGACTTAAACCAGGGGCCTGCCACCCTGCAGTGCTCTCCTGATGATTCCGCCTCCTTAGTCCACACTCCCCACTCTGGGAACACTCCAACTTCCCTTCCAGGGTGGCCTCTCTGCCACCCCGCCCAGGTCCTGTGGCCTCGCCTGAGTCAGGACCAAGGGCCCAGCTGTGGGAAAGCAACCCAGTTACAGTGGACGGGTCAGTCCTGCACTTTTGCAGGACACAAGCCTGTTCTGTCATTCAGTGTAAGGGTGTGCCCACGAGTGGAGCTGAGGAGAGAGACAGAGGACACACACAGATTCTGAAGTACTGTGTGAATCCTGGATCTAGTTGTACCTGAGACCAGCTACTCCCCGGCCCCTGCCCGCCTTTTTACATTCTTGTGTTTCAGACAGTTTAACTAGGATTGCTGCTGCTTTCAGATGAAGTAGCCCTGGCAATACAGATTCTTTCTCAGCCTTGAGGGGAAGGGGGGGGGGTTGGCCTGGGAGGGAGTAGTCACCAACACCAGGCTCCATCTTGTTGCTCCACCCTTTCCTTCCCGCTTTTGTCCCACTCAGCTGCCAACTGTGAGCATCTTCTAATCACCTGCCCATTGTCACCAACCTTCCCAAACCCCTCTTCTGACCCAGGCCATCGGACCACACAGCGAGATCTGTCTGCACCAATACTCTTGCTTTCCCTTGTCCTCAACCAGATCTGTTAAACGGCCCTTATGCAAAGAGTCTGCTCTGTGCCAGGGACAAGTGCTGTGGACTATTAAGATGAATAGGGTGCTCCCCTTGCTCCATGGGCTCCCAGTTTCCTAGGACATGTGACACACAGGGACATGGCTACAGAATAAGATGAATGGCTCGTGCAAGAGGCAGAGTAGTAAGTGTCCTGAGAATGCGGGGCAGGGGTTTCAGGAAGTGGGTGAGGGGTGAGGAGGAGAGAAGGCAGTGTCTTCCTGCTGTTTCCCCAGCCTTGTTTCCAGCCATCAGGACAAGGGTCCTCCACTAACAGAGGTGCCCACACTCAGCTTCTGACCCTGGCTGCTCCTTTCCCATGTTTACTCTTTTTGTGCGTGGGCAGTTAGGCGTGACAGAGCAAGGATGATAGGCCAGGAGCAGGTCACCAAGGTGGAAAACCCGGGGTACCTAGCAGCAGGCAGAACCGGAAAACCCAGGACCTGGCCCCTAGGGTGACCTTTCCCCTTGACATGCCCCTGGCATGTCTCTGGCCACGCTGGCAGTAAGACACCCTCAGTGACAAGGAACGGATGACTGGCCTCATGTGACTCCCAGACGGGCCCTGGCACAATCACTCCCTGAAGTGTTATGTTAACCCATAGGGATAATTCCTAAGCCTCAGCTGCATTGCAGCTCCCGGCTGAAACAAAACACAGTGAGGCCACGGCAGACCTCGGGACCAGCTGCACCGACCCAGGACCCCCTGCCCTGGCACCAACCAGTCAGTGGAGATGACGACCCTGAAAGGACACACCTGAACTGGTGCTACAACTGATGACTGTTGTATTGACATCCTCCCCTAGGACACCCCCCCCCCCAAACTCCCACTCTTAATAGCCCTCAGGATGAAGGAGGACACAGTATTTCTTTAAATTAGTATCTGGAAACCTAAGTTAGCTCAGAAAAACTTAGGAATGTTTGATAAATGAAACTGTAGGGAAGAAGTATAAGAAAAACACAATCCTAGGACACAACTCAACAACATTCTTTTTACTTTGCTTTCTTTGTAGGTTCCTCTGCTCTGTGCTTCCTGCTGCCACCCGGGGGTGAGAGGGGAAAAGAAACCATGCTCCTAAAATGGGCCCTTTATATAAAAGACCGGGAATTCACACCCATGTAATCTGTCACAAGGAAATCAAAATGAGTTGCTAATTTTTCTTGGAGTTTTATTCTTCCTATTATATTCTTTTTGGAAAATCATTTGTTCATCAGTGTCAGGTCTGGGTGGACTGTAAACGTGCTCAGTTGTCCATCCTCCTATGGAGGAAGACGGACACCTACAAGGTCAAAGGACTCGATGAGTCAGCTGATCGTCCCAGATTAGAAACAGAATCCTACTTTGCCCCAACACTTGTAAAAGCTACCACTCCCTTTTTCAACATTCACGTGCAAACAGATGCAGAGAAGTTCCAAAGTAAAAACTTATTTTTGTAATACCAGTTGTGTAGCCAAAGGAAACATCAAACTGGAATGAACTGAGGGTGGGGGTGGGGGTGTGCGATGTGGTGGTCGTGGCAGATTTCTAAGTCCTGGGGGTTTACAGGAGTGCCTGCTATGTCCAGCACTGCAGAATGAAGCACCGTGAGTAAACCAAAGCCTAATCTCCAGGATTCACAAGAGATGGGAAAATGGCCTGAACAGGTAACAATAAACACAAGCTGCCCTGTATAAATGCACAAGCTTGCTGTCAGCACAGTGTACTTCTGGGCACTCGGCTCGACACTGCCAAGTGGTCTCGAGGTATACGTAGGGTTCCAGGAGGGTTGAGTTCTGGTATCACACAACCTGGTGCTAGCTTCCTTCACAAGGAGGTTTTGCTGAGAACACTGCATGCATGCCTGCTGGCAAGCTGAAGGCCCCCCATGCTTACCCACTTGGTCTTGCACCAATGCACCCTGTAGGCCTGGCTCCCACCCTAGCCTGTGCCGCCCACCACCTTTTCTTCCGGAAGAGAGGCCCCAGGATATTGATGCTGCTCCCAGTCAAGCCAGACTTACCACACCTTCTGGACACCCCACTTGACCTGCTAGGCTTACATGACAGCCCCTCCATGTCCTCCCCTTCCAGTATGCTTTGTGGCCAAACTCCCCCAAATGACAACACCGATAACTCCTCTACTCTGAGTTAACAAACAGAGGCAGCTGGTTAAGACAGAGGGCTCTCTCATCAATGCTCCTTGCCTGTGGTCAGCCACCTGGCAGTGCTTCCCACCCCTTCTCCCTGGGCATTCATTTCCCCTCCTTCCCCCTCTTCTGTCATCCTCCTATCAGCCCAACATGTCTCCCTGCCCCCAGAGCCAGCAGGCTGGTCCACCACAAGGTGGCTTCTACCCTCCAGAACCGACTGGATGACTGAACACTGAATGTGGGAGTAAAAGAAAGGGAAGGCTTGGGACGGTTCTTTCTCTGAGGCCAGCAACCACCTTCTTGCCAATAAACGCAGTCCACACTTTCAATCTTTCCTTCTCTCTGTTCATCATCTGCCTCTTAATAACTCTCTGCATCTTTAAAGCCCTGCCCTCATATTTCTTTCCTACATTCTCTTTCTCTTCTGCTTTCCTGGTTGCTTCTTCTTAGTCTCCTTTGAGGTAGGTCTCCCCTTCAAATAAGGATCAGAGTCCTCTCCTCTCTTCCCTCTGCACACAATCCTGGTGATCTCATCCACTATAACTCCTTCGCCTAAACACCACACCCAGAATAATCCCACTGCTCCCCCCCTTTCACAGGCCCTCCCTATGGTACACAGTGCTTGAGTCACACCAGCTCTCCTTCCTTGTTCAGGTCCTCAAAGGTGTTGGGCTCATTCCACCTCAAGGCTTTTCCACTTGCTCTTCTCTTTGCCCAGAACACTTCCCCTTTATCCTCCCAGGGTGGCTTGGCTCCTCAAAGTCATTCTCCCATCACCTGCTCCTCCCCTACAGTCACTCTCTACCCTATGTCTTGTTAATTCCCCCAGTGGAGGCGGTCATTTGAATGGGCACAGCTTCCCCCATTACAATGAAAAACAGGGACCCCAGGACCTAGAGCAATGCCTAGCACTCCATAAATGTTTGTGTCTCAATGTGCCATCTCTAACCTACCCATGTCTAAGAGCTCCAGACTCCTGTCTGTCCAACTGTCTACTTGGCATGCTCTACGAGGGGCACAGACACCTGAGACTGAATCCTTCTGAACCTGAGGCAGCACCCCTGCAGCTCTGTCAGTCTTTCTTCTGCTCCTGCCTCAGAGGACGCGATGTCTGACCACCTGGGCACACAAAACAGAAGCCAGGGAGCCACTCTTGCTCCTCCTGCTTTAGCCCCTGCACCCATCAGCACCCTTCTCCGACTGAGTGCACCTCCTTAGCATTTCTTGAATCCACATGATTTTCTCCTTTCACTAGCACCAACTGCCTGGCCTGAATTATTCTAACTGTGTCTAAAGCTAGCCTTGTCACAGCCCTGCCCTTGTCCATGGTCCACCCTGCGGTCAGGGTGATCCTGCAGAAGGGCAAATCGGACCCAGTCCTTCTCTTCTCAACCACTCCTCCAGGGCACTTTCCTGCTGTGCTTCTGGCCCTGGCACACATGTGGCTCCCCAACAACTCTCCCCCACGCCCAGACTGCATACTGCAGTGCAGCTCACTGAAACCCCTCCCAAGCACAGGCTGGAACACATAAAATTGTAACTCTTTAAGGTGGCACTGGTTAAGTGTGGGCAATTTCAACTGAACACCACGCTGGCTCCTTTCCCCCTGAGCTCTTCTGGAGCCCTGCACAAACACTCGGGCTCCCCAGGAACCCTTAGTGTCTTTGGTAACGTGGATCCACTTTTGTTTAACACTCAGGGTTTCAGTGACTTGAGGAAAAGTTCTGGAAACCCAAATCAAATAGCAACTTTGATTAAGGCACAGATTTGAGCCAAGTGTGACAGGGACAAGCCGTGACTTCCCGGAGTGCCTCACGGAGTGCTTGGCACCTGGACTTCCTGCTCCCCGTTGTGTTTCACAACCATGGTGCACCCTCACAGGCCCTGAAGGAGGGTGCCACCGCTCCTGCTCCACGGCAGGTGGAAGGAAGGAAGGTAGGCAGGGACTCCATGAAGCTGCTTGAGCTCTGAGCACTCAAGAGGCCTTGGGAGGGACCTGCCCTCCCTGGACAGATGGAGGTGAGGCTCCAACAAATCCCACTTCCACCTGGGAGGCTGGAAGAGGAGTCTGGCATG